GGTACCCTTATCACATCTGGTATTTATGGCAGCTGCAAGGACAATTGGCCATGGTCGTATTAAGTCAGCTTTCTATGGTAAGTGCTACGCAGGAGTCGCTGGGGTCACACATACTACGTCAGGTGCTATGGCACCGGCCCGGAAACTATCGCCACGGTTGCCCTTATTATGTCAGGTTTCTATGGCACCTGCCAGAAAAAAGGTACCGTGGTCACCCTTGTTACCTCAGGTTTCCGTTGAAGTACTAGGCAAAAGGCGCAGCCGCATGCTTATTACGTCAGGTTTCTATGGCAACCCGAGAAAAAAGTCTCCGTTCTTGCCCGCCTTATCGCAGGTTTCCTAGAACTCAGAGGAGAAAGTCACCTTGGTCGCCCTTATTACCTCAAGTGTCTTGGTACCTGGCAGTAAAAAGCCTTCTCGGTTGCCGTTATTACGTCACGTTGCTATGGCACCGGCCAGTAGAAGGTCACCCTGGTCGCCCTTATTTTTTCTGGTGGCTATAGCACCGGCCCGGGAAAAGTCCCGGTGCTGGTCCTATCACCTCGGGTTTCTATGGCAGGTGGTAGGAAAAAGTGGCCGGGGGCTCCCTTCTTACCCCAGGTATTCATGACACCCACAAGGAAAATTCGTTGCGGTCGCTTTTATTAAGTCACCATTCTACGGCAAGTCCTAAGGAAGAGTCCGTAGGGGTAGCCTATACTACGTCAGGTTGCTATGGCACCTGCCAGGAAAAGGGCGCTGTGGTCGGCCTCATTACGTCACCCCTCCATGCAGGTGGTATGAAAAAGTAGCAGCCACCGGTTTATTACCTCAGCATTCAACCGCAACTCGAAGAACAAATCTCCGCCCGTGCCCTTATTACCTCAGGATTTTATGAAACTGCATGCAAAAGGTCACCTAGGTCGCCCTTATCGCCTCAGGTTTCTTTACCACTGCCAGGAAAAGATCGCCACGGTTGCCCTTATTATTTCAGGTTTCTATGGCACCTGCGAGAAAAAAGGCACCGTAGTCACCCTTGTTACCTCAGGTTTCTGTCGAAGTACTAGGCAAAAGGCGCAGCCGCACGCTTATTACGTCAGGTTTCTATGGCAACCCGAGAAAAAAGTCTCGGCTCTTGCCCTACTCATCTCAGGCTTTCCTAGAACTCAGAGGAGAAAGTCGCCTTGGTTGCCCTTATTACCTCAAGTGTCTATGGCACCTGGCAGGAAAAAGTCTTCTCGGTCGCCGTTATTACGTCACAGTGCTATGGCACCGGCCAGGAGAAGGTTGCTCTGATAGCCCTTATTACCTCTGGTTCCTATAGCACTGGCCAGGGAAAAGTGGTGGCGGGCTCCTTTCTACCCCTGGTATTCATGCCACCCACAAGGAAAATTCGCCGCGGTCGCTTTTATTAAGTCACCATTCTACAGCAAGCGCTAAGGAAGACTCGCTGGGGTCGCCCATACCACGTCAGGTTGCTATGGCACCTGCCAGGAAAAGGGCGCTGTGGTCGGCCTCATTACGTCAGCTTTCCAAGCAGGTGCTACAAAAAAGTCACAGCGGCCCGCTTATTACCTCAGCTCTCTACCACAACTTGAGAAACAAATCGCCGCCCGTACCCTGATGACCTCAGGATTTTATGCAACTGCATGCAAAAGGTCACCTAGGTCGCCCTTATCGCCTCAAGTTTCTATACCACTGCCAGGAAAAGATCGCCACAGTCGCCCTTATTAGGTCAGGTGGACATGGCTCCTGTCAGAAAATGTTTCCCGGGTCGCCATTCTTAGCTCCCGTTTCGATGGCACCTATCCGATAAAAGGCTCCGCGGTCGAACTCATTAACTCAGCTTCCTATAGGAAGTGCTTACCAGAGAAGCCTCGCCATAGATCTTAGTAAGTGAGGTTTCTACGCCACCTGCCAGGAAAAAGTCCCCACGCTATCCCATATTAAGTCAGGTTGCTACTGGACCTGCCCGGTAAATGTCACCGTAGTTGCCCTTCTTATGTCAGGTTCCTATGGAACCTGCCAGTAAAAGAAGTAGCAATGGTGGCCCTTATTACCTCAGGCATTCACGCCACCGGCCAGGGATAGGTGGCCGGAGTCGTGGTCGCCCTTATTATGTCACGCTGCTATGGCACCTGCCAGTAAATACTGGTCGCCCTTATTATTTCAGCATTATATGGCAAGTCCGATGGAAAAGTTGCCGTGGGCACCATTATCACATCTGGTATTTATGGCAGCTGCAAGGAAAATTGGCCATCGTGGTATTAAATCAGCTTTCTATGGCAAGTGCTATGAAAAAGTCGCTGGGGTCGCACATACTACGTCAAGTGCTATGGCACCGGCCCAGAAACTATCGCCACGGTTGCCCTTATTATGTCAGGTTTCTTGGCACCTGCAAGTAAAAAGGTACCGTGGTCACCCTTGTGACCTCATGTTTCTGTTGAAGTACTACGCTAAAGGCGCAGCCGCACGCTTATTACTTCAGGTTTCTATGGCAACCCGAGAAAAAAGTCTCGGCTCTTGCCCTCCTTATCTCAGGTTTCCTGGAACTCAGAGGAGAAAGTTGCCTCCGTCGCCCTTATTACCTCAAGTGTCTATGGCACCTGGCAGTAAAAGTCTTCTCGGTCGCCCTTATTACGTCACAGTGCTATGGCACCAGCCAGTAGAAGATCGCCCTGGTCGCCCTTATTATGTCTGGTGACAATAGCACGGGCCTGGGAAAAGTCCCTGTGCTGGTCCTGATCACCTCGGGTTTCTATGGCAGGTGGTAGGAAAAAGTGGCCGCGGGCTCCCTTTTTACCCCAGGTATTCATGCCACCCACAAGGAAAATTCGCCGCGGTCACTTTTATTAAGTCACCATTCTAAGGCAAGTGCTAAGGAAGAGTCCCTGGTGTCGCCCATACTACGTCAGGTTGCTATGGCACCTGCCAGAAAAAGGGCTCTGTGGTCGGCCTCATTACGTCACCTCTCGATGCAGGTGCTATGAAAGAGTCGCAGCCCCAGGCTTATTACTTCAGCTTTCTACCGCAAATCGAGGAACAAATCTCCGCCCCTGCCCCTATTAACTCAGGATTTTATGCAACTGCATGCAAAAGGTCACCTAGGTCGCCCTTATCGCCTCAAGTTTCGATACCACTAACAGGAAAAGATCGCCACGGTCGCCCTTATTACGTCAGGTTGACATAGCTCTTTTCAGAAAATGTTTCCGCGGTCGCCCTTCTTAGGTCCCGTTTCGATGGCACCTATTAGATAAATGTCGCCGTGGTCGAACTTATTAAGTCAGCTTCCTATATCAAGTGCTATGAGAGAACCGGCACCAAGGATCTTAGTAAGGCAGGTTTCTACTCCAACTGCCAGGAAAAAGTCCTGACGCTATCCCACATTACTCATGTTGCTATGGGTCCTGCCAGGATAATGTGACCGCAGTCGCCCTTCTTATGTCAGGTTCCTATGGCACCTGCCATTAAAGAAAGTAGGAATGGTCGCCCTTATTACCTCAGGCTTCTACAGACCGGCCAGGGATAGGTGGCCGCAGTCGTGGTCGCCCTTATTAAATCCCGCTGCTATGGCGCCTGCCAGTAAATACTGGTCGTAAATACCTGCCAGTAAATCTTCCAGCATTCTATGGCAAGTCCGATGGAAAAGTTGCCGTGGGCGCCCTTATCACATCTGGTTATTATGACAGCTGCAAGGAAAATTGGCCACGGTAGTATTATGTCAGCTTTCTATGGCAAGTGCTACGCAAGAGTCGCCAGGGTCGCACATACTACGTCAGGTGCTATGGCACCGGCC